GGCTGCCCCAACCCTGGCAGTGTTCACAGCCAGGTTGGATGAGCCTTGAGCAACCTGCTCTGGTGGGAGGTGTCCCTGCCCAGGGCAGGGGTTGGGGCTGGGTGATATCTAAGGTCCATTCCAACCCCTAAAATTGTATGATTCTATGAACTTCCATCACTACATCTGTGTTAGTGGTGACATGACAGAGTCTACTTTACATCACAGACGTAATGATATCTTATAGTAAGAGCTCAATAAACGTAAGTAAACACCACACAAAACATCAATTATATTTTAAAGAGCTGACAAAATTAATTCACTAGTTGAGTTACCCAAGTTAATTCACTTGGGCTCAGATCCCTCAGGTGCCACCCTGAGGCTGAGGGCTCTGCTAACCCGCCCAGCAGGCACAGGGCAGGAGTTTGTCATCTAGCTTAGAAGTGGCAAATACCTCCTCCTTTTTTTGGTCATCTTTGCAAGTCCCCAAACCCCTCTGCAAATCCTTCATGAAACCAAAAAAAATGAAAGGTTTAACCTATTTCTCCTTAAATTATGATGAAAGTTTAATCTTTACGCTTGTTTAATGAGTAATAAAAGCAGAATACTGAAATATATTCATTAATTATTCAAGGAAAGGACTATTTCCCTCGTTTAGTCATTGGTCATTAAAGATAAATTTATCTAAAGAGAATCTTTAGTTTCTGTAGCTCATCTCTCTTCATGGAGCCACATATAATTTTCTGTTTGTGACATCTTAATATTTTTCCAGTGACTGAAGTGTCACATCTCTGTTATTTGAGCAGTTAATACTGGAAATCCAAGATCCCTGAATAAAGCACAACTGTGTGGGCTGCAGTTCGGGGGCTGTGGGGGAGTGTGCTCAGCAGATTTCATTTGCTCTGAGGCCTCACAGTTGATACTTTAGGATTTGGCCTGGTGGAGGCTTTTGTGCAGGAGGATTTGTGTCAGCAGTGAGACCCAGAGTGGGGGATCTTTGTTTCCTACAGGTTCTCCCAAGCTTTTCAGATTAGATGTTAGGAACAATGTATTCCCTGTGAGGGTGTTCAGGCACTGGAATGGGGAATTGCCCAGGGAGGTGGTGGAGTCACCATCCCTGGAGGTGTTTAGGAGGTGTCTGGATCTGGTGCTGAAGGATCTGGTTTAGGGTTTACAATAGTGACAGGTTAATAGTTGGACTTGATGATCTAAGAGATCTCCTCCAACCTTGATGGTTCTATGGTTCTAGTTGCCACTCCTCTTGCAGAAGAGACAAGGACTTCTCCCTCACCCAGGGACACCTCTGTCCTGATGTCTCTGCTGATGACATCTCTGTCCTTCTGAGGTCACAGCTTTCTCCTTCCCTTCTGCCACTCCCCAAAGCTGGAAGGAAGAGAAGTTATCATTTTTTTTGCCATTATTATTCTCTATTTTCTGGAATAGCTGTTTTCTCATGTAAAATTAGCTTTCAAAGCAATGAAAAACTGTGTGTCATATTTTAGAAAACTGAAGGAAAATGAAAGGGGAATGCAGCTGTAGTTCAGGTAGGGATGCAAGCACAGTTTGATTTACTGGGGTGGGAAGTGGACACCCAAATCCCAGTGATTCAAGGCTCCCATTTCCCATCCTAACCTGGTGCCAGGCAAGTTGAGGGCACAAGCAGCAGTGGCACTGCCTGCTCTGTCACTGCTGCCATCCCTGCCCTGCATTTCAGTGAGCTCCTCTAGCAGGAGCTGCTTTTAAATCCCCTTTGTTTTAAATTAGTATTCCCTCTTTGAGGTTTTATCAGATCCAAAGCCTGATCCAGCTCATCAAACAGGGTTGTGATGAGATGAGCTGGCACAGGGGAGGCGAGAGGGAGGGTGGGAGGTGGAGAGAGGAGGGCAGCACTGCCTCCCTTGGCACCAGCCTCCTGTTTTTATGGGCGTGATGAGACTGTGCCCTTCCCAAAGAGGAAGCTCCCAGGCTGCTTGTGTGTCACACCCATGCACGAATGACACTGAGAGCTGCCAGCCTAAGCTGGCTGAGCAGGGCAAACATGGCAGGTTCAACCCTGACTGCCTCTGAAAGCCAACTCTTCAAGGGGTAGAGAGCCTGGAGTTTGTGGAGAGCAAAAAGCAGCCAGAAAAGGAGAAATATCATCCTGGGCTGTGTCTGTATAGCCAAACACAGAAAATCCTGTATCCACCTCCATCTCTGGCTGCATCTGGTTGTGAGCCAGTTGTGGACTGAGACACCAAGGTTGGGCACAAGGCTGAGGTCGGTGTTGTGTCATCACAACCATTGCTCCCCAGGGTATGGTCCAATTGCACTGGACAGCAAAGGGCAGAGACCTCCCCCATGCCCTCCCCGTGGTGTCATGTCCATACAACAGATACTCGACCTCAGCTGTTGTTAGAAATCAAGGGAACTGGGCAACAAACACTTCTGTGCAATTGTTTTGCCACGTCCCCAGTGCCATGGGGATTTTGTTCAGGACTAGTACTACTACTTCTGTTCTCCCTGCTAGTCTTGAGAAATCTCTGCCAAGCACAGCCCACCCACAGGTTTCCTGGTCTCAGGAAATGGGCTGCTCCCTCCCTGCAACACACATTGGAACAACATTGGAAATGCAGAGCCCAGGAGGGTAAGATGATGACCTGGAAACGTGCTTAAGCATACAGGCTTGTATTGATGGCACCTCTAGGCTCCAGGGTGAGATCTTGTGGTTGCTTGTTTCAGTCTGATAATTTCCTCCTTTCTCTTTTTTCTCTCTTTTCTGATGGCTTGGGGATTTGTGGAGGTAAAGGTCTTTCTGGCTCTGAGGTTCACAGGGCTCATTGCCAGCACACTCTCATAAATTTTCCAATGGTCTTTTTCCTAAGAGCAGGTTGGCTGATGAGTTTAATTTCCACTGACCCCAAGGATGGATTACAACCCCTCTGTGGCTGGACAGCAAGAGCAGGTCACTGCAGCATACTTGCCTAAAGCACTGGCTCTAGCACTGGGTATCCAACTAGTTTTCCAGCTTGAGAGGACATTCCCTGCCCAGGTCCCCGTGTGCCTAAACAGGAAAGTGGCACAGGATAGGGAGAGGTGGATGCCTGATTTTATTCAGGTGTAAATGGGACTAAACTGCAGCCTGAGGTGTTTCCCTCTGCACTCAACAAGTTTGCTGTGCTTATATCTCTCTGAAATAAGCTTATTACATGTGCTGCTCTCTGGTCTTGCAGCTTTTATTTCCATAAAACCATTTACACCCAGAGCAATGACCTGCAGAGATTTCTCTCTCTCCCAGAGAGATTATTGTATCAGCCTTAAATGCCTTTATTGATAATATGAAATTATTAACTAGCATCGTTTCCTCGTGTTTTAACAGTGTCATTACAACTTTAGCTTCCTGTAAGAGCAAGAAATAATTGGCATTCAACAGCATTTCCATGTAAATACCAACATCTGTGCAGTTTCCATTTACCTTCTCATCCTCCGAAACCCCGAAGTTGTTTACCAGTTTTTAATTGTACCTCATGAACAGGATTTTACCA